ATCTTAATTGACCTATTTTCCTTTATACTTTCTAATCTAAAATCACCGCTTTTGAATGTCTTGAACCGTTTCGAAATAGCGTGTCCATTAATTATGCTATCGTCGCGCTGATCAAAAATTTCTTGCGATCACCGTGTACCTTTTAACGAGGCATATTCTCGACAACCTGCGATCCGTTGCAGGTGTAACAAAGCCGATGAAACAAAAATAAAAATAAACAAATCCTTCTTCCAAGAGATAGGAATAAAGTTTCGGTAAATGTCGAATGGGAATAAAGTAAACGTCTTTTTGTTTATTTCCGTATTTGCGGTAGTTAACATGTAGAGGACCAAAGTTCATTCTTCTGTGATAGGAAGAGTTCTGTTTCTCGCATAAATGTTATGTAACAGTCTTTGACGAAAAGTAAGTATTGAGCAATAATGAAAATTATTGAAAAAAAAAAATATATATATATACAAGAAATGTATATAATACGGAATTCGTAAGTAGAGATGAAATAAAGAATGTAAATGAAAACTATGTGAGTATATAAATAAAGAGTCAAGGTTCGTAAACGAAATAAAGTTGATGATTAAAAATAAAACAAGGTCCATGTATGAGAATAAAATAAAAATGCATAAAATAAAGTTCATGTGTGCGAGTAAAGCTCAGAAATAAATCGTAATAAAACCATCAAGTCCATGTTTAAAACTAAAATAAAATTGCCGCGTGAAAGTAAAGCAAAATGTATAAAAATAAATTGAAATCCGTAAGCTCGTCCATTCAGAAAAGTCCAGTTTCGCAGGAGAAGTTGCCAAGACCCTTAGAAAACAACGCGTCATCAAAATTCGAACAAAGTTATTATTGAATCCGATATCAGCCGCTGGATCTCTTAATAGATACAACACGATCTCTCGGAGAACGTGCTAAATTAAACCCTACGTAACGCGCGTTTTAGTAACGTGCACACGTAGGATGTCCTGAAGGGTCTCGTATACACAATTTTATTGATCGACGGTTGCAACGGGTCTGCGTAAACAAGGAGATTCTATAATTACACGTTGTTTTTCTGCTCGGAATATTATTTTACAACCCTTCAACGCGATAACAAAATAACTCGCTCCGTTGATCGCGGCCGCGAGCCTCGGCGCAACTTTTCCTCTGTGTTTTTGTTTCATTAATCTCCTTCCTATTCTTTTTCTTCTCTGTTAAAAATAGTGCTTATTGTTCCGGGCGTTATCGACGAAGCCTTCCAAGCGGGGACACCGGTTGGACAACCCACGTGTGCGTGTGCAATACATTTTATAGCGACTATCAACCGTTGGAGAAACGGTGGAAAAAAAACGAAACGCGTGATTGTCGGAAAAGCGGCGTGGTAAACGACACTCCGACGCTAATAACGGGGCCAAATATTAGGTTGGCCAGAGAGTTCATTTGGATTTTAACGCGTTCACTGTCAGGCTAACGGTGAGAATTCCTACGAGGTTAAAATTTTGTTCCTGTACAATTTGAAATGATAGGATCTAACATCTGTGGTAGTACTTATTTTGCGACCTCTTTAGAATATACTATCCAAATTAATTTTCCTCGACACCTCACTTTCAGAATTTATTTATTCCTTAATGAAAACCCTTGTCACTCGCATGTGGGTTTTCAGAAACCTTTTTGGAATTAAAGCTATGTTCATTTATTGTTAGTGAATATTCTACAAAGCGGAAGATAGGAAGAGTCAATTTTAAAAATGTTTGATTCAAAAATAAGTGTTCACCTCTTGAGGGATATATTGCCACATGTGTATGTGTACGTTTGATTATAATAGTAAAATTACTAAAAAAAAAAAAGAATTCAAAAAACATACAATATTAGACAGCATATTTCTATGTAAAACTTATTTTACAGATAAATAATGCTTTGATTCGTGTGCATTCAATTAAAGCAAAAGAAAATATATTTAAAATTCATCTCTCGAGGGGTTAGACACTTGAAATAATATAATTAAAAAAGGGAGACAGTCGTATTGGTAGTTAACGAATCGAACGAACTTTTTGGCCAAGCTAATAGAATATAAATATTTTCAGTTTTCCCGTCTCGCACGAAATACAAGGAACAATGACAAAGCCTGAAAGTAGCAGCCTCGTGATATAAATAAATAACGATATTCAATGTAACAACGAATTGTATCGCACCGCGAACAACAAGGTATAACAGTCTTAATTTGTGATTTGTCGATACGATGTCAGCATTGGACTATAATCTCCATCCGCTAGTCAATAAATATATGTAATATGTATAGACGTATATAAATATTCTGATAAAATTCGAAATTAAACTCACGTGCACGCGTACGAAGCTCTTACAACGCATCCGTGAATATTTATTCAATTTTTTTTATTTTATTTATCTTCTTCGTCTCCCCTCTTTCTTTTTCTCCCTTACGTATGAAATATATAAGTGTCGTAGTTCATTCGTTTCTTACTTAAATTAAGTTCACGATGACTACTTAGATTGTATCTCCACTTGTACGAACTAGAAAGTGATGATAATCGGGAAATGATCGATCACAATGTTTGTCTTTGGTTATCGATGACTGGAAAGTAACGATTCGGAGCGATGGATACGTGATCCTTGCTCCCGGTATGTTCAATCATTGGATCGTACGTAATCGTGAATTTCAAACGGACTTCGAAATTAGAATTATGCGGGCGTAAAGTGTGTTTATGGTTTCGTTCGTGTAGAATTACGCTTCTTAATTACAGACGAGAAATTCGATCTACGAATTGACATTCGTTATAGTTTTCTCTGCACATAAGGGGAGGTTACGACGTTTTTTAATAGCGAATCGAATGGAATGCAAACTTAAAGTGACTTTAAATTTTCTTTAAACGGCAAACTTAAACCGTGACGGACATGTATTAGGTTGTCCCAAAAGTTTCTTTCGTAATTTGCACTCACTTATTTGGTGCGGTAGTGTTTATATAAATAGACAATCTAATTTCTTAGATGTTCATGGTGTAACAGTAATGGAGTAAAATGAATCGTACACAATTCAATAATGTAACATTAGACATAAAATATTGTGTACAGTGGGTGTAGAAAGTATTCGTACACAGATCAATTTCCAAAAAAAACTGTGTAAAAGTGTAATTTATTAACTTATTTTTTATAAACAATGACATTCTACATAATCTCAGAAATGTCTAAAATAGATAGATTACAAAAAAAAATAATAGCTATTTATGTAAGTTGCGAAATTAACAAGAAAAATGCAATTAATCGATAGAAATGTTGAAGCAATAAGTATTCGGACAACTGTTTAAAATACTTTACTGGAAATTTTATGTTTTCTAATTCGCACGGAGCAATAAACTAATGTGTTTACGTTACAAATACTATTGTAAATGGTTCGTCATAAGAATCGTACAAATACTTATTGCTTCTATACTTTTAGCCACTTTTCGCATCTTTTTGTTAATTTCACAAATTATATTAACTAGTAAATGTTGTTTGGACTATATCTACCTTAGAGACTTCCGAGAATATGTAAAGTATCATTGATTACAAAAAAAGAAGTTAAGAAACTACAATTTCACAGAAAAGTTTTTTGGGACATTGATCGGTGTACGAATACATTCTACACCCACTGTATGTATTACTTATTAATAAAACGAAAGAAACTTTTCGGACAACCTAATACTTTCCATGTTTCTTACTGTTCAGGCCCGCCGTTCCGACCATAGTCCCTTGCTATCGGTTTCAACAGCCAGAGTCAAACCCCGCAACAATAGGACCGCTTTTATGACTTGTCACTCAAACCGAGAATTTTCCGCTGAAAATCAGTAAATTTCGAAGCGTTCTATCTTGGAACCCAATAAAAATCGGGTAGATACATTAAGGGTCGATGAATTCATCTTGAAAAGCACTGTCGCATGATCCCCTCAAAAATATATAATTCCATTTTAAAAAAAACGAAACTTCACCATCATATCTTTTAAATGAATAATGTAACAAAAATTTCGTTTACGCCACAATATAGAATCCATCCTCTTGAAATCTCAGCATCCCAAGCTATTTTTCCCCCATAAAAAAAATAATCTCACTCAAATCAGTCTTCCATTCGATATAGATTCTCCCTATAATCCGGCACCTCCCCTTGTAAGCGTGACACACCGATCAACGAACAACGCTATCCATTAAAACGCTCGAGATCACATCTCGTAGAACAATCACCATGTATGTATGTATATAGCGCGATAGTATTCTAAAGTAGGTAAGACAGTAATTCGTATCTATTCCTAGAGATACACAACGAACCTCTTATCACCGAACGAGTACAAACACAATTATCCTATATATCGAATGGTCTCAACGTTGTTTCGAAGGATGCGTGAACGGAAAAGGATCGAGGAACGATCGACTAGAAACGAGCAGTGAAACGCGTTTAATCATGCCGTCGACGCGAGATAATAGTCGAGCCGTAAATGCGCCCGTGTGTACGATTACTTTGGAAAAAAACCAAGAGTCACCTGTTCACCGACGAGATTCTATATTTTTTTTTTGTCTCTTTATCTACGCTTTTCTTAATTTTTTTTGTTCTCTTTGTTTGTTTTATTTGATACACGCCGTTCGCCGTTGGCCGTGTTCCTGTTGCGGATCGTCTCGAAGACGAGAAATTCCACCGCGGGATTTTTCAGTGTGTGTCTTTTTTTTCCGCGAGATAGACAACGATCGATACAAGCGACAATCGAAAATAGTTGCACGAAGAAGCCGCGTCTATGAGTTATAAAATTTCTGCAAGACAATGAAATCGCTGCCCCCGTGTATTTCGGTATAATCAAGGAAGACATTGTGATTGTTCGTTCATTAATATATATAATATATATATTTAATATATGTATATAGATCCCCACCCCACCCCCCCTCCCTTCCCCTATTCACCTTCTCACTCTCTCACTCTCTCTCTCTCTCTTCCGTTTTTACGTATATTACACATTTGTTTTTTGTTCTCTTTCCGTGTTTCTCTCTTTAATTATCCTAAAGCAATTGACTTTTATTAAGGAATGATTTTGTGCATCGCGCATAGTATGCACAGCAACGTGGGCAGGGCCCACCCCCGCGCGACATTCTGCGATGAAGAGACGGCGATCGGTGCGGGTATAATTTGCACTGGAACAACGGATACACAAGGTCTTTGGTTACAGTTAATCTGTTACGGATAGACGAGGTTTAGGGGTTGGTCTAATTGTAAGTAGGTTATCTTCATTTTCAATGCTCGAATTTAAACTCGAATTTGTTGCATGGTCCTTTCCAAAAGAGGCTTTGGGATTTTGTTTTTTTAATAAACCGTAATGGTGAACATATTCCAACCGACAGGGTTTTATTAAAAAATAAAATCCTAAAGCCCCTTTTTGAACATTATTGTACAATTTTTATTTGTTTCTTCTATCTTCTTGCATTCAAAATTTACAGTATATGTATTAGTTATATGAATAGAACAAAATTGTACATGGATTTTAATAGTCAGGTTACTATTAGGTTGTCCCGAAACTTTCTTTCGTTTTATCAATAATTAATATATACACGATATTTTATGCTTTATGTTACATTACTGAATTGTGTACGATTCATTTCGCTTCATTACTGTTACAGCATCAATGTCTATGAAACTAGACTGTCTATTTATATAAACACTTCCACAGAAAATAATTGAATGCAACTCACGAAAGAAACTTTTCGGACAACCTAATATATAATTATCATTTTATCTGAGAAACTAAAACCTTCTGGAAAAAGGTAAATATAAATATTAAATATTAAAATACTGACTTTTGTTAATAGTCATATTAATATAAAATAAGTTTACGTGACATAGTGTCTACATTAACTGCATTTAAATTATCTAAAATTGCTTTGGATTGTCCTAATCTATGAATCCTCAAACTAGATAAATTTTCTCAATAATCATATTAATTAAAACTGAATTGAATGCCTATATGCCAAGATTAGTGTCTAAATTAAAAGGATTTGGATTAGGTAACCCATCAATAATCGATTAAAAATAGTCTGGTCGTTGGCAGACGAGTTCGAATTGAACGTTTCTCCGAAGAGTTTATTAAAATGAGTTGAATAATTACCCGAAACCGTTTCTATCCTGACATCGGCGTACTGCTCGTGCATGGGATAGTCCGGAATGGTGGAGTAGCAGCTGATTTCCAAATATCCGTTCTCCCCAGCATGCAACGCGGAAACCTCTATCGTTAATTTTGCAGTGGCGGACATTAGATGGTCCTTGTGAGACGTGTGAGGATAGTGGTTCACCAGAGTGATGTCCACCTAATCAAACAGGATTGCAAAAGTCAAGGCATTGAATAAGAGTCCCGTCAAAGTCCCGTATCGATTTCTTTCACATCGTGCTCGTCCCCCCCTTCAAAAACGTCGCAGTACGGTAAGCAAAATTGACCAGGTAAACATCCACCTTTGCCGTTTCGATATTTCAACATCGTAATTTCCGTTTTAGTAACCGTATTTTTAACGTGAATATCAAGCAATAAAAACAAATACATGTGTAACATACTTCAATGCTTTATCTGTATGCAAAAATATATAAAAATTGACGTATCACAATTGAATAATGTGTGTTATTAATCATGCAACGCTTGAAGAAATTCATTATTTATATTGGAATTAATACTGACAGTGATACATATTATTCTGTTTAAAAAATATGCAAATAACGACGAATATTTTTGCACGGGACATTAATTGTTTCCCGTACTTACCTCCTTCCCGTTTATGAACCATGTCAAGTGAGGAACTGGACGCGCAGCCGATGAAGTGCAATTAGCTTCTAAATTCTCGCCCACCACGTACATATCTTTCTTGAACGTGATTTTCGGGTTTTCAGTCTGTGGTTCTGTATAATTTCATAACAGTAATTAGAATAGAATCGCGAGAACTGAAAACCAGTTTCTTTGTTTAAACATTTATTTTTCTTTGTTCAATACGTTGACTGCCATGTATCAAAAATTACACATTGATGTATTTGTTATTTTATAACGTTTATTGTGATAATAGTAATGTTACTTAAATGTCTATAGGTGTTAGAATTTATATGTTGGAAAAGTTTTACAGAAATGCAATTTTGATGCTTCGATTATTAGTGATGGCAGTCAATGTATTAAGGAAAGACATACACAAACATTCTTTGTAATTAAACTGTTGAAAATAATTAGGGATGATTGTAGAACATGGATCAACTGTCAAGAATGAAGAAAATGCAAGATATTTAATTCGTTGTACCTAATATCAATCGTTCCATATGGCATTGCTAAGTTTTACAATTGCACACAAATTTCTTCAATGATGCCACATAATACCATATTATTTTGTCTTTTTTAATAAATATCTAATTTATATTCATAAATGTATTTCACGATCCTATCACAATAATAATTTCAGTTAAACTATTTTTTTTTTCCATTGAAATAATAAATTCAGAACACAAAAGGCTAACGCTGCTATAAAATTCACCTCGATTTTTTTCATTTGAATAACGTAAACAGCTTACAAAACGTCGTATTCAAATAAGCCACTCATTAATTATTTCGAGCAGCATACACATTTTTTAACACAAGTTCTATTTCCAAATATATTCATGTTTTAAAATGCACAACTCGAGAGTAACGTACGCAACCGATACGCAGTTTATGCGAACGTCACGCAACATTTTATATTCGAATAGTGAATTATAATTGCAAAACCATCACGTTTTATGTACAAGCGACACGATTGCATAATGAAACGATCGATCAGGGAAAGTACGATTGGAGGGTTTTATTGCTCGATATTTTTATCTAGCGACTGATTGATCGATGAGCATGTCTACATGTAACAGTTCAATTCAATAAATAGTTTATTAATCGTTTAACCCAATATTGTTTATTCGAGCTGACACTTTTGTATTCGTACCATAAAACAAAATCTGTGACGATTTTTTATTTTTTAGAATCTGCTCACGTTAACCACATGTTTCGATGGATCTTTTTAGAGGAAATTTAATTAATTTTTTTTAATAACAAAGCTCGTCTGTAGACGTGGTAGACATTTAACTACGTACTATTAAAGAGATCACCGTTAGTGTTTCATTGTGATCATGTGAACTTTTATTTGAAATAAAACGATTGGATATATTTCATATTATTTTTGTTTTATTGTAAAACAAACCCTAAAATCACTATTGGAAAATTGTATAAAGAAAAGAGTGACTTGATTTTATTCTGTTGAAGTGGAAGAGTTACGTAATTTAAATAAAATTGCTAAGACAATAGAACCTCAATAATTGCATGTGGATGTCTGCGTTGCATTGTATTGATAAGTGGAGCGACTGATTATTGAACAACAAGTCAAATTGGAAGAGGAAGTCTTACGTTCGAGACAAAAGCAGTGCTTAAGCGAGACATCAATGATAACACGTGATGTCACGCAGATATAGGTTACTGTAGCGTATTGTGTACGCGAAGGTGCTTCTTATCGGATTGGTTGCCTCGATAATTGCATGAACTTGGAGACTTGAAGGAATTCTCAACACCGTTTCTCAGCAATTAGTCAGGTTTTATCGATCATTGTTTCAATAAAAATAATTTAAGAAGAGAAAAATTGGTATTTTCTAAATTTACATTTGAATTTTGTAAGAGAAAAGAAAATTCTAAATAAAAACTGCTTCGACATACTTTCACTAGAAATAATTTAAGAATAGAAGAATTAGGACTTTTTTAATTTAAATTTGAATTTTAAAAGAGTCAAGAAAAGAAAATTTGTTGAGAACAGAATAATTGAGCATACCTAAATTCAAATTTAAACTTTGCAAGAGTTCTCTGTATATTTTATGAGTTACTATAATGACAAAAAAAAACGGAGAATTTTCAAATTAAATTTTGAATTTTTAAAAATTATGAAAGATTTAGAAATGAAAGCAATCGCTATTTTTATAAGCAATACTTTAAAAGCAGCGAAATTAAAGCTTCCCAAATTAAAATTTATATTTTATAAGATAAAGAAATTTAAATGAAACTGCTTCTTCAATACATACTTATGCAAGAAATTTCTTAATCATTGAACTCAATCCTGTACACAGGGCGATTACTTAAGAATGAATATTAATGTATCGAGAAATCTATTCGTATTCACAATACTCATCGAAATTTAAACAATTTCTACTCATAACTATAACTTTCTTTTATACTTTAAGTCATCAACTTATGAACATTGTCTTTAATTCAGATGTGGAAAGTCATACTATATTATTAACTCTTTTTTTGCGACATCTTGTATAGATAAGAAATATCCCCAGTGTACAGTTCCAGAACTGAAGTTCTCATTGTTCAAATGCAATTACTTAAGCGCACTCTCTCTCTCTCTCTCTCAAAAATAAAAAAAAGGAAATCGAGTCATATTAAAGCATCTCATGCATTACAAAAGATACAATAAGCATTGCACGCCATTTCAGCGATACTTTCTCTTACCTATAACTTTCATTTCAACGGGGTCGGAAACCGCTGTATAAATAGGAGTCGTCATTGAGACCTGACAGGAATATGAACCGGACGCCTCGAAACGGACGTCCTTTAATTTGATTGTCGTGCCGTTTTCCAAGTACTGTGAACAGGGTCAAGTACCGCATTTTTCGCCTTATAAAACGAATCTTTTGTCTTATATTGAACATGGCACATTTTTCATACCGAATTTTTCGAAAAAAGAATATCCTTTGTAGTATAATACGCGTCATATTCATGTAAATTAGGTCACAACGTAGTTTCTTGATATGTGTGTAAATAAAGACAGAATGATACAGGCCATAACGCAAGCTTAAACTAATCTTTCGACTCTTGGATCTGAGACCCCTTCGCGTTTACATTTATTATAATTGTAATTATAATTATAATTGAAATTGAACTTGAATTTGGAATTATAATTGAAATTGAAATTGTATCTGCAATTGGAATGGAATTTGTAATTGACTCATTACAAAAGTATACCCAATAAAAACCAAATAAGGCAAGGGTTATGAATAATGACACACCTAAATTACAATGAGTTTCAACACAATCACAATTCTTACGACCATGGTTCGCATTTGCATTGATTTTAATTCCTATGTATTAATTTTAATCGCAATTTCAGTTTCAATTTCACTTTTAATTAAAATTTTAATAATTGTAAATCTGAACATAGTCCAAACCCAAGAGATGAAGCATTATTACATTCATAGATGATAAACCAAAATATTCCCTCCTTATTTCCACGTAGAAAAAAAATAAATGTTATAAACAAAAAAGCGCGTCTCATAAATAAAAGAAACACGATATTTTCCTGAAATCTCTTAAAAATAACACACGTCTATTTCTTTTCGCATGTTCGTTCAGACCGTTCGGCATCGTGCCATAATTATTGGTCCTTGCGTGCTCGCACGCTCGAACAGGGCGTATCGATCCCTTAAAAATGGATCAAACGACCGGTTCCGATCGCGTAGGTGTCAAACTAGAATAAAGGAAGAGGGGAAAAAGAAAAAGACCGTATCCCCCAAAGATAGATTGTATCCGTTCAAGCGATTTAAGAAGCGTCACGAACCGCGATCGGCGTCATTCGTTTTTATTATTAAAGTTGCATGTCTCGATGCATGTGCTCTGGTCAGCCAGGCGAGTCTTTCTCGATATTGTGCCTCGATATAACGCGGGGCCAGGCTACGTTGGTACACAGTTTCAATTTCCTTGGGTAAACCGCGTCGTTTCAGCGGTTTGTTTTAAAACAGTCATGGCAAGACCGCCGTTCGCTTATCTTCTTTAATGGTGGACAACGTACCTATCTAATTCTATGCAGTGAGATGCAACAATCATCTATACATAGGGTATTCCACTAGAAACAAGCCAGTTGTAGTATCCTTGCTGGTTCTCCAAGTAGAAAAACTTGGAAATTAATTATGACGAAAATAAATAGAAGGAACAATATTAATTTGAGAAAGCTCATTCAGAGTATTTTTTTCTTTGTATGTTCTGAACTTGTTTTGTACTTCTCCCTCAGTGTACATTCATGTTTAACAGATATTGGCATATTTTGAACTGTATTGCCAATCTCGTCAAAATCTCGTCAAAATCTCGTCAACATTTTGTCGGGTTCTCATCGAGATCATATATTCAAAAGTGTCGAAAATTCGAGATCGATATGCATGTTTCGAAATTTTTCGAGATCAAGATCGAGATCGTAGAAATCTTGCCTCGTCTCGTCTCGTGCGGATCGCTAGTAAAATGAATGGAATTTTGCTTTGCAATATGTTCTCCGTATCTCGGGGAAAGCAGAGCGTACAAGCTCGCGGTTTTCAGGCTGCAGAGGTTGGAAGTAATAAAACAGTACTATGAAATACGATTGGATAACACACAAAGAAGCTAAGTGGTTACTTTTTTTCTCGTTGTTGAAAAGACGAAATTTATTTTGCGGTTGGGAAACGTGGCGAACTTGTTTTTCAGCAAATTGTAGAGTACTATGATAATTGAACATTTAGTGGACATTTTTATCAAATTTTAGAAAAAAAAGCAGAATAAACATCAAAATAATATTAATAAATCTTGACAACATATCTCACTATTTACAGTTGCTTAGAAATTCCTCTCCTTATTTTCTTCTATTATTTACTTAAACTGTAAACCCAAATGGCAGGTTTAACTTTTTGTATGTTTGCTTGTTTGTTTTATAAGGGTGTATAATTTGTATTACATTGATTATTGCAATTTTTTTCCTTTTTTTTCCATTCATAATGCTTTACATTATTTCATAATTTTTTACACTACATTCTTTTACATTCTTCCCTGTAGCTCGGGTACCTCGGGATCGCTAAGCCCGTACTGTAGCTGCGTAAACGCATGCTACAGCCCCTGAGGGTTGCAAGTTTAATACTTTTACTTTTCTTTTCCTATTTCATTTAATTTCAGTACGTCATCATTAATATCATTAATGATTACGTACTGAAATCATTAATATATAATAATCATTATAATCATAATCATAATAATAATCATTAATATATAATAATAGATCATGGCACCTCCTGCTCTAGTCTTTTACATCTAATATCACACTTTTTGTTTCATATTTGTCTTGCAAATAAATGATCTACAAGTAAAAACAGTCGTTATTATCGTTCTTTTATAAAAATAAACTTTCCTTAGGTCAGTACTGCAGGTTTAATTTAATTTCAATACTCATCCCTTATGCCGTTCCGTTTTATGATTATTCTCAAGTGCAAAAACACTTCTAGTACCAGAGCTAGTGGAATAAGAGCATCCCTGGTCAGACAAGCTGAATGAGATAAAAGTAATAAGAAAGTAGCAATAAAACTGAAACAAAGGCATTCGATAAAAGCGAGGAAGGGGTAACCGTTCGAGCATCGGGCAACGGAATTGCCCGTTACGGTAACTCTTGTATAAATATCTCCTCCTAGATAAAAAAGAGGATAATGTTATTTAATGCCGACTCTTTATCATCGCAGACACTCGGGTTGCCCACCCTGAATTGTAATGTCCACTGACCGTATTATCGCGGCCGGAAATATGTCTCGGAGGGTGCAGGGTAAACAGAACAGACACGTTTAGCGGGCGATAAAGTATGCGTCACTTTTTCTAGGTTACTCTTGACGTTTCGGGGTACAATGCTGCTTGTAACGCAAAGTAAATCGCGCGGTGCACGAAACCGCTCTCACAACGCGGTGCACTCGAAAGAGTGCAATCTGCGTTTTACGCTCGTTAATACTTTCCTTCCCTTCGAGCTTTCTTCTCTGTTATTAGAATAAATTTGAAAATGTTCAAGTACGGTAGAAATTTACTATGAAAACAGAATCTTTGGTCTAACGAAGTAAGGTTTAATTTATTGGGGAATGAAAAACTTTAGAAATTGTGATTGTTGATATGGAAAAAATTATTTAACAGTGGGGCTAAATACTTAATTCTAGTAAATGAAAATAGTATTTTTGATGTATGATTTATGAAATTGTTATATTAGAAATATTTGTTAGACTACCATGCCCTGCTCAGGAGTAGACTATATTATTTAAAAATAACCAAGTGCAAATACCACATTTTTCGCAATAAAAGTTGAAATGTTATAAAACTATTAAATGTCTAGTGTGCTAACAAAAGACAGATAAATTTTAATTTTCTACATTTTTCGACCAACAGTTTTCTAAATTTCTTAAGAATAATTAAGTACAAACATTAAATTATCGGCTTCAACGTTTTCTGAGAATTTAATGGAAATTCGATGAAATTAATTAACACATTTAATTACCACGATAATTCAATTATCTCATTTCGATAAGCAAGTAAAAAATCATTTGTACAAATATTACACAAATAAACAAAAACAGTTTCGCGAATTCGTGAAAGTAATAACATTACTGAAAACATGAGAACTTCTCGAATCGATTATCAGTAATCTTTATATTACCTCATTTATGATTTACGATCCTGTTAACGTAATTCCAATAACGTTCGATTACAATACCTCTATATTGATTTTGTTGCTAAAAGTTCAATGTTTGTGCTTGTTGTGAAAGCCTCAAATACACCCTTCCTTGCACGGCAGTAATTTACACGCGAATTGTGGAACAAGGTTATTATATCATTTCATGTGCCCACACGCAAACGTATCGTTATTAATTTTTTATCAAATTCCGTGGAATGATCAAAACATGAATATTCAACGTCATGCGAGCGATAATTTCCGACATTGTTTGTTTGCAATAAGTTGATCCCCGTGAATGTAATTAAAGGTAAATTGAATTATTTTCCGGTAATTTTTAACCGTTTCATTTCCTGTCTGAATGATCGAACCTGAATGATCGAACGTGAATGACCGTTAATTTATGAAAACAGATCATGTATTTTCAAGAGTACAGAATACAGAAGTAAAATCGATAAAGTAAAATCAAAACGTTTAACAAGAGATTAATTCGAACAAACTTGAGGCAGCTGCTCGTATTCCCTGTACAAGTAGAATCAAATCGGATTTAGTCAGACAAGTGAAGTAAATCCGTATTTAGTTGTTCAAGGGAGAGGTTATTATTTTATTTTTCTCTAAATACTAAACTAAATTATGAAAACAAGTTACACGTTTGCAGAATCAACAATTTAGGGTTAAACTCGACAAAGTAAAATCGAAACGGTTAACGTAAAGTAAATCAAATGAACTCGAAGCGGCTGTTGATGTTCCCTATCCAAGTAGAATAAATAGAGTTTAGTCAGACAAGTGGAGCAAATCCGTATTTGGCAAAGAAAGTAGAATAGAACGGAATTTTCCTTATTTTGCTGGTATAACGGTGTACCGGACAACATCGATTCGTTATTTACACACCAACGATACTTTATTTAAATATCAAAATTAAACAACCTATCACTTTGGAAATAATTAAATTGAGATGAAAGAAATTTCAACTTGTCATTATGTTTAAGTGCTTATAAGAAATGAACGACTTTTGAACATAATTGCTATTTTTTGTTTTCTATAACTATAATTGTTAGTGATTCCAATGATTTTAATTTTCCGAATATGTGACTAGACATTATCTCACTTTTATCCAATAATATATGAAACCAAAGGGTAAAAAATACAGAGATAAATTCAATAAAGTGGAAAAAAACGGTATCGAAAGATTAATTCGAATGAGCTTAAAGTAGCTGTAGATTCCCTGTCCAAGTAGAATAAACTGAATTTAGCCAGACAAGTGGAGCAAATCCGTATTTGGCCAAGAAAGTAGAATAAAATAGTCTAGTTTGACTGACGTGCAAAATACAACAGAATTCTTCTTACTTTACTGGAATATTAGTTTAACAGATAATTGTATTAACTCCAGTTGTGTATACTCTAACAATAATTTCTTTAAACTTGAACTAATAACGTTGGATGTAATCAAATCAAGGATGAGAATTTCAACTTGTTATCATGTTTAGGAGAACTGAACAACTTCTATTATAAATACTATTGCCTGTTTTCTATAAATAATAATAATTAGCGATTCCAATGACCCTAATTTCACAAATGTGTGGGGAATAATAAATCGTTCCCTATCTCCGCAAATGTCACGTAAAATTGGGAGACTTTAATCAAATAATCAAGCGATCCGTCTGCTTTCCGTTTGATATAACCGCGAATATTTATTCAGAATATCTCTGCTGAAAATGATCACAGTCGATCCGCGGTAACTCGATCCTCTATAACTCGAGAATCTCCGTAAGACCACAATTTTGTTCATTCCCTTTTCACTCAGCTGTGAAAATCTCTTCTACAACTTGAAATATAAACTTACTTTGGCTCGAATTATTTGCCACGTGTTTGGATACGTTATTTTACCTCTGCATCTCGGATTCGGAGTAGCCTGACCTCTGCGTGTCGAACTTTACCCCTATAAATCAAACTTTCATCGTCGCTATTCCTACAACTTGATGTATTATGCGTCACAATCTGTTAGTGACCGACCGTTTGAAGCCTCATTTCTGTATCATAATTGTACTCGTACTTAAGACCCATTCAAAATATTTTATGAAATTTTGAAAGGAAATTAAATGTCAACATCTTTAATAACTGGCAGCTTGAAAATGCAATTCATTCAATAAAGTATTCTGTATTTACAATTATTGTAAATCTGTACTTTATGTTGTATTACAAATGTTACGTACACGTTCTCGTAATTTTACGTAATCATAATTAACGTATTGCGGAGAAAGATTTCACCATTCAAACCAACTATTGTCGCTATTCAAAGAGAATACACTTTAGTCAATACGTGAGCCCATCAAAAGCAAACTGGCTGGAAATTAAACGATTAATCAACTAGCATTGGTCAAACAAATTGAACACTAAATGGCACGTTCATTTGTGCGAATGGTGAAATTCAACGCGTAGCGTACGCGAGCCGTAACGCCTACAATTTAACTGAAATATTCAGAAGACCAGATGGCTTGGAGAATTTATTTTCAAACTATTGGTTATCGCGCGCATGAATTTCTAATGCAACGTCAGACTAGAGATCTACATAGATATCGAGACTATCCTGACATGTGTAACCCACTTCAGCATCCGGTCGAAGACAAGAAAGCAACAGAAATTGTTTGTGTGAATATGTATTTTGTATGTCTATTCACAAATATTAGTTTATACAAGCTTGTACTTGTATATCTGATGTGTTTATGATCCTGAGACATAGACATTTTTATATTTCGGCGACTCTAATCACAAATTAATAATTGTAAGGTCTGCTTGATCATTCGAAATGGTAAATGTGTTTGTGGCCCAGCAAAGATAATTTACAAAGTCTTGAGAAGTAAAAATAATGTATTGCAAAGTAATTTAAACAGATGATTGGAAGGATACAGAACAACCGAAAGACCATTACTAAAGGCAATAACTAAAAAAGGGATCAGATCCAGGAGTTACTATACAACAAGTACAAATTAAAGAACCGTAATATTTAAAGGCCTAAAAATACAGTTTAGAACATCACATTGAAAATCGATATGATAACAATAAAGTTTAGAATATAAAATTGACAGTTAATTCTCAATTATTTCTACTGCAGAGAAAAAAGTAAAAATACTACAAACCACCATTATAAAATACAACTATAAATAGACGAGTCATCGACACTAAAAATCATTACCTGATTTAGCCTGTCTAAGTGACCTGGAGGGTTATTCATAGCGTGCTATGTATGATCTCTAATTATGAAAAATTCAAACCAAATTGATCTCGGTACATTTGTTAAACCGATGTCCGAGTGGGTTTAAGTACTACACCGGTATTCGTATCACGGCTGACCAAAAAGGATATACATTTTTTGGCAGAGGAAACGAATAAAAATAAAATTGATTGGACGTTATGACATAATGGGCGTGCGTGTTAACGCGGTGAAATATCTGGACAGAAATGAATTTCCGCATTACACATTTCAACGCATCGCAAAAACAGTCGGTACTCGGTACAGTATAAAACACGTATACGTGACACCAGGACGTAACTCAAACACGCGGCCATCTGTAACGTTATCGCGGGAATCATTGAACGCATTCCTTTTTCGTGCAGGGAACTCACATGCGGGTACCATTGGATTACTTCTCATGGACTTGTTAACAGAAACACCTATATACTTGTTTAACACGATTACTCGTTTACTCATTATCATGTAGAACATCTAATATAATCTTCTAGGTAGTCCTTCTGCTGTCTATTAAATATTTTAATTCCCTTGTGTTAGTTAATAATTCAAGAAATGAATTTTTCAGTCATTTTTGGAGTCATATGCAAAACTATTATTAAATACTATGGCATAGAAGTAGTTTTTATGAGAAAAATATTATAAATAAAGAAATATTACCATTGATTAGATACTCATTATCATGTAGAACATCTCATACAATTCTCTAGATACCCCTTCAGCTGTCGCGTAAATATTTTAGTTCCCTTGTGGTGGTTAATAATTCAAGAAATGAATCTTTCATTCATTTTTGGGGTCATATGCAAAACTATATTTAAATTCTATATTCTACTTCACAGAAGTGCTTCTTATAAGAAAAATATTACAAACTAGAAATAAAGAGGTATTTTCTTCTATTCTTAATTTTGTGACAACATTTAAACATGACTTCGAATTAATTTCATGATTTTTATATTATCATATATGTATACGTTATATAACATACTATGTATATTTGTATTCCTATTTTGTTTTAAAAGTTAAAACACATTTAAGCACTAACTATGCATTCATCGTTTTAAATCTCAAATAGTCACAAAAGTATGTAAATATTCTATGAATAAATTAAGAGATGAAAGGTGTCTCGTGACTAATCTAGTTTGGGAAATGTTGCTATAGACACTGTTTGCACTTACTATCAAATAATAGTGAAAAACGTTTAAAAACTTCACTATTTAACCCACTAAATTTTGCCTGTTTCGTTCTGTATTTAAAAGAAAAATACTCGTATTTCACATTACGATCCGTATAATGAGCGTACCGAATTAAACGCTACTGAGAGTTATATAAATTAAATTTTTTATGATTAAATAAAATCATTATCTCAACAGAGTAAGATTAAAAAATTTCACCAAATTTTCTCTTTAAATTGTTCTTATTTTGGTTCATTAGCTGAAAGAAGAAATTTGTATTTCACATTTCATATAACGAGCAAACTTTAAACGTTAGCTGAAAGCCAAAATAATTTTAATGAATTATCGTGGATGCGTTTAAAATAAATTGTTCGTCTGAAATGAAATTAAATCAGTTTTTGTAAAATGTTTTAGATACTGTGTGCAGATATTAATTCTGTGTGTTTACATTCGTATAATTACGTTTATAATTATAGTTTAAACAGAAACATTTACTCGTCATTTTGTTACATCAAAGTACCAACTTTCACGAAAAACACAGATTGCTTTAACGCTTATTTTTACAACTCTCAATGTTTATGTGCTCTCTTGGAGGAAGACCGTAAATGCACTATACCATGGTATAGTTCTTCTTCTTAATTATATGATAAATTTACCATAGAAGGGAACAAAATTCATTTCCAAATCTAATATATCAGAAAGATAATAAATGGTCGAAACGAAATAATGCTGCACAGAAATATAACAAAAGAATTTGTCCGCGATTATATTCCATTACTGTAATATATCTCTGTCTGAGAGATGATTCCTTTGTGACAGATAGAAGCGATAAATACGACCAGACAATTGCTTAAAAGCAGCATACGTATAATTTAAAATGCACCGCGCGGTTGTGTGCGTTAATTGCGTCAAACTCACCTCCATATTCGCACCGTCTACCCGCCATTCGACGAACGGCGGCTTCCTATCCTTTATGTATTGTAATATCTTCTTGTCGTCTTTCATGAATTCAACTTTATGCAAGTGAACATCTAGGACACTATGGTTGCAATGCAGAGTGGCTGAGCTGCCGTGTGTTACGTAGTGTGGCGCTATCAGCTGCACATGCACCGTGGATGTTGCATCTGGAAATCAACGACAATAACGTGTTAGTAAGTAATGCAATTTCACGTAGTAAATGGAAAAGAAAGAATTTTATAAATGGATTTCCTAAATGGAGTAGTTGATGAAAATTGTGAGCTATGAACTCGTACAATATATGTTCAACGTTTGAAATTATTAGGATTATTTTCAAGGTACCTCAGTAGCATTGAATTTTAACATTTTAGCGAATTGTACAGTATTTCTGAATTTAAAAAAAAACAATGAAACCACATGTGGTAGAGTACGATGGAACAATATTTTATTATTATTGTACATCAGTGTATTCATAACTGGGAAAAATACTAAAATTAATAGTGACACAAAGGAATGTTACAAATATGTAAATGTATATAGAGAATAGAGATATAAATAAACTTTATAACAATCCCCAAAAAAGTCTTTTCATCAAGCAATTCAAAAGTAACTTTAAAATCAATGGTTACTATGGAAAATCTTGACTTTAATCAAAAAATTGGAATCGTCGAAGTCTCTTAGACTATCCTCAAACATTAAAACAAAAGATTCGCTTCGGGTTTCTTCTTTCCCGAGCAACTCTACATCTTTCCCCAACTACTCCAATTCGATTACCGAAAGTTGACGTTTTCTCCCCCACTTCACCGAAACGTTATTAATTTTCCTCGTAATGAATATTTCATCAACGAATCCTGCCAGTATTTCAACCCGTTAACATTGTTCCGATCGCGATTCTAACGTAGATTCGTATCGCATTTCTCTTCCTTTTCGCGTAAACGAAATATTTCCAATTCGCGAAAACGCGAGAGCGTATAGTATAGAAAAATATTTCATCTACGCGAGATAAACTACTATACAGCGTAAAAATTTGTGAAAAATATTGAAACCGAAGTAGCATATTGATAGTAAAAACAAAAAGTGGAAATAAAACTGTGGTGCGCGAGTTTTTCTTTAGTAAAAAAATAGAGAGAGAGAGAGAGAGAGAGAGAGAGAGAGAGAGAGAGAGAGAGAGAGAGAGAGAACATAAGATCGGTGCAACAATTTGATGCGCCGTTGACGAGAGCAATAACTAATTTGCGTTTCGAATACCTACATGGCGCATTCTACCATTAAGATCCATTAAAACTGCTCGCGTTTTACAATAGCCGCGATTAAATTGTTAAAATATCATTTCTAGTCGATTCGGAAACTCTGTTAAGCGAAACAACGGAATGATGCCGCATTCGTGTAACTACTTCAGTTACCAAATTGATAATATTTATGTTGTGAACAAACTTTGTATATACCGTGGATATCACGAGAGCGGGAACATTATTTAGTGCATACCATCGAACGTATCGCTTTGTTTGGGATAATTGAGACATTTGTCGTATCAATTAACTAAGACACTTTATGAAAATAGGCGTGGGTGTAGGACGTTGATTATGTCATGTTAGAATTCAAATGATTGTGTTGGACGAACTGTAACATTTGTACACAATGTTAATATGTATAATGTCCGCTGTGTTACTCTAAATATAGCGTGGAGACAATTTACTGTTTCGAAGGAAGCGAGTGTCAAGTCGAACAGTCAATACTCAGCGAAATCCAGGTCGTCTAAAGCGATTAACGTTTATATATTGACTTTATATTTCAATAACTACTAATCTACAAGTATAATTGAATGTTATCTGGATATATGATGAAATATTCTGTCAGAAATTTGAAATTTTTCATTAAAAAGAAAATTACTATCAATGGCAGAAAACGTAAAATGAGAGCAATATTAAAGGATGTTTATTGTGTAATTTTGAACATATTATTATTTATAATAATGCCAAACAGTGCCAAAATCAGTATTTATAACAACTGAATTTACTAAAGTAATGTGTTTGATACATTTTTACACATTAATTTAAACAATTTCTGTTATACCTTCATTGAATGATTTTCACTTGTTGTTTTAGCAAATTCAAATGTAACATTTCTAGATTTTTGAAAATGACTCGAATAAATAAGTAATAACTTGTTTGAAATTGCAAATTTACCACCTTTAAAGTAGGACAAACAAGTAAACCAGAACCGTGCGTGGTCAGACATTAACAATGTCTTACTAAATAAGTAGAATAAGGTCGTTATTGAGCAGACTTGTGAAGTGGAATGAAAGTAACAAGCAAAGTGGAATGGAACTAAAATAAAGCCATGTATAATTACTATATCACCTACTGCAACATGTATTTCTCTAAAAAAAAACAAAAAGACATAAATAAAATTGTAGGTTTCATTTATTCACGTATAAAATAAAATAAAACGAGAAAATGAATTTCCCTATTCGTCACTAGTTCACTACTACTCTATGACTTTAATTATCAGAATATAATTTTCTCCCTCAACTCACGTCAAGCCAGCACTGATATACACAAATTTCGAAATTTTAGAATAAATTTTTAATATTAGAGATCCTAAAACAACGTACGCGTCGATCCGGTTATCTTATTACTTTTAATTCGAACACATAATGAAAACACGAGTGATTAAACTATATTGCGTACGCGTAATCACGTTAATAGCGAATCCTTGATTAATTATACCCCAACTAATGGACATATAATGTCGACACAGTGTATCGAAGCAAGCACCTATTAATGCGACGGATTCCTGGGACTGGAACTAGGTCGTCTAGGATGATCAACGTTTTCGTATCAACTTTCAACGTTCCCGAGGATAAATATATATGTATTAGTTCGCTCTCATCTACTAATGCACAGAAATGAGAAAATATTTCCCAGCGGTCAACATACCAAGGAAGACTACAAATGGAAATTAAAAATGACATCGCAAAGAGGGAAAATACGATCGGACATACGGAATAACAATACAACTAGAACAAACAAGCCTGACTAGATTCGTGCACGGTCAGGCGAACCTAACAACCTAGTACCGAACAGAGCGAGCACAATAAGACCGTTTCGCGGATAAGCGGAGAGAGACGAGAAACGAAACGGAGGAAAACTAATAAGAGAATTAACAATGAAACTAAAATGAAACCACGGTTAATTTATATTTCAATAATCCCGGGCTTTCGCGACTTTAAGAGGAAGACAAAAGTTTTCATATGTCGCGTACGCGTACTCGTTAGGATAAACTTTTTACCGTTCCTCAAACGCTTTTTATTGTACAATAATGCGACTTTACTTACCGAGATGACATTTTTCTACCGTTACTTTTTGTAAAATTATTGGATTCGTGCCCCCCTGTTCATGTGAAACTGGATACCGTAAATTGGGATACATGAGAAATAAAATTCCTTACTAATTTCGATATTTTATGATATCCCATGCAATAGCAATGTTTGTATTATTATCAATCGGTCTAGACTCGAGACAAGCTTTGTATGTTGATATAACCAAATCGTAATTTTATTCCCGTTTGACGACAAAGATTTGAAAATATATGATAAAAGCAACGAAGATAATCTCAAATTATTCAACGAAACTTGAGATTTGGGTTGAAATCATTTTTAGAACATTGATCTACAGAGGGAAAAAAATCGTTGCAAATAATTTAAAAATATACTGAAAATGCAATGTTCTCATTTTGGAAATTCCTCTATATCGTGCAATATTTTACAACTCACAGTCAAAAGTGTTGTATAATTATATAAAAATGTCAATAGAGGCTTGTAAAGTAAAGACCAATATTTTTCAGTTACAACACAAACTCATTTATTTTCGTTTGGATTCGTGTGTTTGAGTTCTTTATATGTAGATCTAGGAATATTGCAATTGAAATTAAACTAATTTTGATAATTGCAAATAAATATATTGAATATTTTCTCAAAGAAAATCGTAGTAAGCTACACTAATCTTTTTCCAAAATTGATATTTTAGGATAAAGATTCCGAAGAAAGAATGAAATATAAAAGGAAAATTACAAACCGTCTTCGAAATTTTCATACTAAAACAATTCTATTTCACTGCGACTCTCAATCTTTATAAAAACTATTCGTTCCTACAGTTTCGCTTGAAAATAAATTTCCTTGACATATTCATCGGCCACTTTTAAATAACCAACCTCCTAAATTTAAATTGAACTCTACTCCAACTCCCATCTTCATCGGAAATCCTCAAACCTCGTTCTAGGACTAAAATGATCCACCCACGAGCAACTTCACACGAGCGAGCTATTACTCCAATTATTAGTGTAGCTGCGCATAGTCACGTTAACTTTAAATTCACGAACGAATTTAGCTCTAACTACCGAGTACGTAACGTGGCCAGAGGCCTGGTATGTCGAAGGAGGCATGTATTAAATTCGACGATTCCTGGGGCCTGGAAACTAGGTCGTCTAGGACGATCAAAATTTTCGTGTCAAGTTCCGACGTCGATTCAATCCCTATCGTATCCGATTAATCGGATTGCGAATGTTGTCCACGGGCATAGCGTACGTGGTTGGGCGTTTAACGACGCCCGTCAAAAATACGACGAGTCTAATGAAACTCCACGGAAGAATGGAGAGGTTTCGGTTGACTATAACTACTTGTGGCAGTACCCTGTTGCTGGGAGGTGTTACTGTATCGATCACTGAAAGCGCGTGCTACTAACACGCGCGCAGTGTGTTTCTGTGGCTTTCAAGACGTCCAAAAACCACCATATTTCACCACCACCAAATCATAGAAATGAAATCGTCCACGATACACCGTTCTGCGTCTGATTTAAATCGAAAACGGTCTAACGTTCGCGTCACAAAGCGATGGGAATTGCCATTTCTACCGCCCGGTGGATTTATACCATTAATTTATGTATCGACACTTTGCTCAACTCGAAAATTTATGTCGTCCTTTTCGGAGTATTAATAAAGATTAATTCTCGAGGATACTACACGATTTATAAATGGTACGAAATTTGAGGCGACGTTCGAGGAAAGATGAGTGGAATACTGTGCAGAAAATTTAATTATAAAATTAATTATAAAATGACTGAACGAGTATAATTTAAACGTTGTTGTGTTATCCAGTATAAAGAATAAATTGTTAGAAAATGTACAAATAAATGATACGAAATTTTAGGTAATATTCAAGTAAGAATGAAGGGAGTACTGTTTCAGTAAAGAGAATGTAACTATAAAATGGCTGAATAAGTGTTAGTTAAATGTTGTTGTGTTATTCTGTGTGTAAAATAAATTGTTTTAAAATGCACAAATGTTAAAACAGTGAAGAGAAATTAACTATAAAATGCCGAACAAGTATTACTAAAAGTCCTTAAAATAAAATCAAGTGTTTGCCGTTTCTATTTATATATAAATTGCGTTTCATTCAAGGATCGTGAGGAAAGCAGATAGGGGCGTTATAAGTTCCCAGAACCGATGCTATAGTACTATACAACGCTATGGCTCAAAGTTTGTTTCGAATCTTGATAAAATCGATGCATCGGTAGAGTGGATGACTCTGCCGTGATTTTCCCGAGCAAATTAAGTCGAACATAAGGCAAAGAAAATTCGCGATTGGAAATCTTTCGCTTCAACTACGATTCCGCGAACACTAAAGAATTCTTAGCTATCGTGTTATTTTTTAATATTCCGCACGGAGTTATGTTTACAAGAAAAACACGCAAACCTTCGTGCAATTTAATTCCAACCCACGTAATAATCTATTAAAACGGAAAAAATTTATCAAACGGGAATAGTATTATTGAAAAAAGTATAAATAGAAAGATACACGAGATGAAAAAGTTGAAAAGACCGCGAAAAATGCTGACGCATTAATTACACGTACGCATCGCTTAATTAACGGCCCGTTGATTAGGAGCGAACTCTCAAGGAAACGCATTAAACGCGACCGTTAAACTGGTTTCTAATTACCTTATTACGTGTCCCGGCCACGCATCAAACTATGTAAATAAATTTAAAAAGCAATTTGCACAAGTGTCGTCGTAAACCTTTGCGTGCGCCCGGCGAAAAGGCTTTTCTCGTTTTGTGAATGAAAGACAACGATCGTCGAGAGATGGCTTTCATTCAAATTGCAGAACCGTACACGGAATTTCGCACGGAACGCAACGAATGTACGCGGTATAAACTAAAAATAGCGCGATAAAGTTGACAGAATTGAATGCGTTTCACGGCAGACGTATCGGTTCTACGTGTGAAAAATCGCGACACGCCATGAAATAAAATTGAAAGAAAACCAAAACGTTCGGTGAATTTTCCGGTGGGTAATGAGAGAGCGGAAAGAATGAACTGGCCGGGTGGGTGTTTACGATTGCGTGTAACTTACATGAAAATAATTGAAAAATATATACGAATACGATTTTCCCCCAATGTGCTGGCTGGGGCGGCATTGTCGTACGGTCTCTTCGTGACGTTTTCTCTACGTAACTGTTACTGCCTCTACGGTTATTTAATTACGAAAAAAACGTGCTTCTATTTTGTACAGTGGTGTGCCTTTAAACTACACAACTTCGAGCCGAGTCGGCGCTACAACTGACCAAGCTTTTCGATCGTTCGACCAACTCCCATGGAATACGGAACATAGAGCGGAGGCTCACTCTCCCTTCCCAGTTTTCCGAGGCGACAGGGGCGGTTTTGGGGTGCTTGGTGCCCCTCTGCGAATTAAAATCCTCACCTTTAACATATTAACGGTTTTCTCTTATGCAAGCTCAAGTATTTAAATTTACGAAGATTTGTAGACTAGAAAATTAGAAAAGAAGCCTAAAGATTTTGTTTTTTAACAACGAAATACGACTGTATGTTGCAATAGACATATTCATATATAAATGTGTATGTATTATATTAATTATATAAATTGGATATATTCTGTACCACTCTTGTAATTACGCTCGCGTAATTGTTCTCTTTATGGTTAAGATACCTCAACATATCGAGAAGTACAAATCGAAATAACAAGTTAAATTGTTAATAGCGATATCCCATTCCGTTAATAATAGCTGGAACAATAAAAATAAACTAAAAAGTATTAATTCAGCAAGTGAAGCTTGCTCGTATAAAAATAAATGGTGACCAACCAATTCAATCTTTATCGTAAACAGTTTAACGATGTAGTGGCTTGTTGTATTAAATAATCTTAAAAGTCTATAGAAATAAAAATGAACTAATTTTAATTACTTAAGAAAATTAAATTCACACAAATGAAAAATATCCTAAAGTGTACCTAAAAATGAAAATTTTCAAGCTGACTAAATTATAATGATACTTTTTATGAAATTGAAACTTTTTTACTGTATGGTATCAGTTCAGCCAATTCCACGTTGTAGTGGCCATTCATTCAAACATGCTTGAAAAAAATACAGTAAATGTGCAGATGCAACACCATTTTCCAATAATTTTTCAATGCAAATGTTGAAAGCTGTACCTCAAAGACTACATATTCATGCATTCAAATTTCAACCTTCTATCTTACAATTTTCCTTAAAATTAAGGTCATGTTAAATTATTAATATATGTATAATTGTTTTCTTATGGTTGGCACTTATACAAATTTTAAATTACATTATATATATTTAAAGAAAATGAAAACATTGACGTCTATAATTTGGCATATTTAAGTAAATTCTATAATAATTCAATTATTTTAGGAACACCCTTTGCTATGATACCCTATTTATTAAGTTATCCCGGCCCTGATCAAGGAATCTTCAAAATCGGATTTGCTAATAGGTCTGGTATTAAATAAGCAATGCGGAGTTACCCTAGTTTATATCAAATTGATATCTTTCTCATAAATAAATTTTAATTAACGCATTCTTTATCAGAAATATTTGAAATATTCTTGAAAAATTTACTTTGAAAAACGTAACATAATATCTTACATATTTTTATCGATAAAACTTTTTCCATTATTTTATATTTAAGGAATTTAAAATCCATTTGTCTATATTTCAAAGTATTAAATAAGATTGAATCCAATCTGCATAAAATTTTTAATATTTTTCAAGTACGCAAAGAATTTACAATAGCATCTAATACGAAAATATAATCGTTTTTTATATTAAATAACGAAGAATGCACCAAATTATACGTGTCGATATTTTTATTTTATTTAAATATTTCAATTTACGTTCATGATGTAAATGCTTTATATTAAAAGTTAATTGAATCTTTTTGTATTTTTTATGAATTGTCTGTGACAACCTAAATCATTAAAGTAGAAAAAAATCCAAGTAGTATTTACAATACGAAAGTGCGCGAAATCTTTATTGTTCGTTAGATAACGATGCATTATTGTCTATTCTTAGCAGAAAAATATTTTACTATTACGTGGCACGGTATAAAAGTGTTTCTAAATGAGCGACAAGTGCAACACAAAGTAGCTCCTTTCATACGTCGTGGGTCTGAAGTATTCATGTAAATATACTACGTGCCTTTTTGTCATCATATGCTTACACGAATACGTTTAGAATGAAGTACGTATGAATTACACGATTAGTGAAGTTGAAGCAAGAATAGAAATGGAAGGACACGAGGAAGATGATTTAGAAGAATTGAATTCAACTGTTTGTACGCTTCCGCCGAATGTACAAAATGTAATCGAACAGGTTAGGATTGTAGGGAAACTGTCAAACTGTTTACAGCTGTCACCTATCCCTAACAAGTAGACATTTCTTATGAGTTTCGTTATTTTTCCACGACTATTGATTTTTATATATGCTTTGCCGATAAAATAATATGAAGGGTTAACATGTATTATGGTTGGACATAAAATGTAAAATTATTACTATCATGAATATTTTTCACTAGTCGCTTACAAGTTCACATGTTCTGATGGATGTTAATAAATATGTTAGTGGTATATTAGATGCAAATGAAATACTTATATCAACTTTTTATTGCAAGGTCCTGCCCAGTACAGATCCATTGGATCAACCAAACTTTAATGTGGTAGACTACATAAATTCATTGTTTCCATCAGAACAGTCTCTCTCAAATATCGATGATGTAGTAAATAAAATGGAATCAAAAATACGTACAATTGACAAAGAGATTCGTTCAGTGGTACGTGGCCAGACAAATGTAGGTCAAGATGGAAGAGCTGCGCTAGAAGATGCACAGAAAGTAATAAAACAATTATTTGTGCACATTAAAGATATAAAAGATAAAGCAGAGCAATCAGAGGAAGTAGTTAAAGAAATAACAAGGGACATTAAACAATTGGATTTTGCTAAAAGAAATCTTACTGCTTCCATAACTGCTTTAAATCATTTGCACATGCTCGTGGAAGGTGTAGATACTTTAAAGTATTGTATCTTGACTTCTACTATTAAATATCTATTTACTATAATATAGAAATACAACATTACTTTAATCTTGCTAGGGTATTAACACAAAAGAAGCAATACGGTGAAATTATTTTACCACTACAAGCTGTGATGGAAGTAATGCAACACTTTAATAGCTACATGGATATACCTCAAGTGAAACAGTTATCTGAAGAAGTATGAAATATTTAAGTTTTTTGATACAATAATTTATGCAGATCATTTTTAATACTATTTTGATTTTTAAGGTGCATCAAGTGCATGTTGAACTGGCCCAACAAATTACAGCAGATTTTAAACAAGCATTTTCTGGTCAAAACCCTAAATATTTCAATCAACTTACAGAAGGCTGTTTAGTATTATCTGTATTGGATCCTAAAGTGAAGTAAATATATTTATTATATTTCACAGCATTTAAATAATATCAAGATGACTACAACAAACTCTTCTTTTTTATAAGGAAGGATCTTCTCACCTGGTTTGTAGGTATTCAATTACAAGAGTACGCGCATTTATTTGAAGAAAATCAAGATTTCGCGTGGTTGGATAAAATAGATCGGCGCTATGCATGGATAAAAAAGCATTTAGTTGATTTTGAATCTAAATTTGGATCGATCTTCCCACAAGATTGGGAGATTTCAGAACGAATTGCTGTACAATTCTGTAATGTTACACGAGAAGATCTAGCTAAATTAATGTATAAACGACGCGCCGAAATAGACGTGAAACTACTGCTTTATGCGATTCAAAGAACAAGTAATTTTGAGTCACTGTTAGCGAAAAGATTCACGGGTATTACTTTACAAAATTTCGAAACAGAGAATACAAAAGTTACTGTCAATACAGACACTACAGATAAAGTTCCAGGCAATCCGTTTGAAGAAAATGAACAGGTACCATAGTTTTCCATATACCTTACACGAAATACTGTTGTATCTAACATGTTAAAATGTTGTATTGCATATTAGGTACCAGCTGAGAAACCAAAACCATCGCCATTTTCAAATCTCATAGGGAGATGTTTTGAACCATATCTAAACATTTATATAGAGAGTTTAGATCGTAATTTATCAGATCTAATGGATAAATTTGTATCAGATTCTAAAACACAACCACCTGGTGCTAAAGATTTTGATGGAATCGAGGGTCCTAGTAGTGTGTTATCTTCATGCGCAGATCTGTTTGTATTTTATAAAAAGTGCATGTTGCAGTGTACACAGCTTAGCACTGGTTCAATTATGTTAAATTTAGCTGAAACATTTCAAAAGTACCTACGAGAATATGCTCTTAAAATACTGCAAAATAATTTACCAAAGTAAGTATATACGTACAAGTATTATTTAAAATTATTTTGTGATTTTCAATAATGTAAACTCTATTACAGAATTGGGGGTAGTGCGGGAATTGCTACAAGTATGAGTAGTATAACACGTGACTTTCGAGATCTGTCGACTTCCGGTTTTATACAAAATTTTCAAAGTTTTTTAAAAGAGGGTGAAAGTACTAGATTTAGCAAAGAAGAACAATCACGTATATGCTGGTAAAGGTTTGCTCATTGGCAACATTTTTAACGATGTTATGTTTAAGAGGAAATAAATTACACGAATATGTATTTCAGCATATTAACAACAGCTGAATATTGCTTAGAAACAACACAGCAATTGGAAGAAAAACTTCGAGAAAAGACGGATAAATGTTATGCTGAAAAAATTAATTTATCTCAGGAACAAGACATTTTTCACAAGTATATATTCTGTATATTTGTATTAAGTACTTACAAATTTAATTCAAATATTTTTTTTTTAATAGCGATACTTACTAATAAAAATCCGAACATTCTTTTTCAGTGTCATATCAAATTGTATTCAATTGCTTGTTCAAGATCTGGAATCCGCGTGTGAATCAGCATTAACTGCAATGACAAAAGTATTTAGTTTGTTTGATTATAATTCTATTTACTTCTATTGACATATAAAATGATTCTAATTACTTACACTGAAATGTGAACAATCATAGGTTCAGTGGAGTGCCATAGAAGTTGTTGGTGACCAAAGTAATTATGTTAACACTATCGTGGCACATCTACGACAAACAATACCTACTATCAGAGATAGATTATCCTCGTGCAGGAAGTACTTTACTCAACTCTGCGTGAAATTTGCTAGGTAATATACATTTTTTATTTATTATTTAATCTATTTTACACGCTATTAAATTATACTAATAAAAAAATTGTTCGCAGCTCTTTTATCGTAAAACTAGTACAACAATTGTATAAATGCAAACCTTTAAATACAGTGGGTGCTGAACAATTATTGTTGGATGTACACATGTTGAAGACTGCTCTCTTAGATCTTCCATCAACAGGTTATCAAGTTCAAAGAAAAGCTCCGGCGACGTATACTAAGGTAATAGTTTGTACCATTTGCATAATGATACTTGTGTTAATTCACTGTTTTTATTATAAATAGGTAGTAGTTAAAGGAATGGCAAGTGCTGAAATGATTCTCAAAATCGTAATGTCGCCTATTGAATCTCCAAAAGATTTTGTGAAACAGTGTAGGATGCGTTTACCAGATTTACAAGCACCAGAATTTCAGAAAATTTTAGATATGAAGGTAAGATTAATTGTTTTCAATCAAGATTTAAAACTCACATTAAATATATTAAAGTTATTAATAATTTATAGGGCTTGAAGAAAACTGAACAAGTGTTACTCTTGGAACAATTCAAGCAACCCGACAATATTGATGTTTTACACGACACTAGGAGTCATATTATTCAAGACAGCCCAGAACACGAAGCTGGGCGAATTAAAAGACTAGAAAAATTAATAAAGAAAAGGATATGAACGTATTTCTTAGTAAAACTTATATTGTACTGTACATACTCAATTTAAATATATCTATATAAAATTTAAATACTTGAATTACATACATAATTTATGTACCCATTTGTCTTGCGAAGCTCGATGATGTACACTAGATTCTTACACTTGTATTGTTAGCTCCGATGTGATTCATACAGCACGTGGATGAAGACTGACGAATCCCTTCCCTTCTTAGCACCCATTTGGCCTGAACCAGTCCGAACTGGTCCGAACTATTACTCGATCGGCCGCGATTTGTGCGGCAATAGGAGGGGAAGGGAACTCACCAGATTAATTGACGCTCGCAAACCTTTTTTTTTGTCAACAAACTATGTACAAAGTTTTGAAACGTCCTTTTAGGGCGAACATAATTTGTCCCAACAACACTTCAATATAGAAAGAGTATTTACGCAATTAAATTTATTAGTGATAGTGCCAAAGGATATGAACTATTTAGAACACAAAGTGTTTGATTTTTATATTTTATTGTTATACATGGTAAACAATACCCGATGAACAGGATGATGTTAACCCTGTTTCTGCGCAAGTTCCTTAGCTTTAGCTTTCTCCAACTTAGCTATCCTAGCAGCAGATTTGCTGCCCAACAGACCACCGCCCCAATGACGTCGGATTTCGTCGTATCTATCATTGAAGTTCGTCTTAATAGCTTCGACTATTTTTGAGAAGTTGGCTCTGTCACCGGAATCCACCTAAAATAAAAATAAACTGTTATAGTACAAACTAAAGTTTTGATGAAAACAGAGATATCTTTAATAATATATCAGATACGTTTTGTGATTATATCATAAATGTAGTCATTGGATTGGCTCTAATTAAACTCATCATATTAAGTTTTTTTAAATAATAATAATTATAATTTACAAAAAAAAAATGTATTATTCTTACATGAGTCAGAGCTACTGCAGTGCAAGTTTTACGTCTGACGAGACGTCCCAAACGTGCTTTGCCTTTTATTATACAGTAAGGTACGCCCATTTTACGGCAAAGAGCTGGCAGGAAAAGTACAATCTGCAAATAATTGTGAGTGATAGTCAATTCTAATATAATAACAGAATAACATAATGAAATTACTGATTTATGTGTATATCACTCAGGGTCATATTTCATCATTTTGATAATAATGATTGATTGTATCAATCATTTTCAGGCGAAGAAATTCAAACATCATAGTTGTAAATAAAATGAAGAAGTTGTTATAGAGTTTTGAAAAATTAGAGTCAATACATACCTCAATTGGATCAACATCATGTGCAATCACAACAAGTTGAGCTTTCTTTTGTTCAACAAGTGTGGTTACTGTATTTGTTCCACTTCTTAACACATTGGGTCTTTTTGTTGGCATGTCTTCTTTTTTTGCAACTTTTTGTTCTGCTCTAGCCTTCAACCTCAATTTCTTCATTGCAGCAGATTCAGGTCTATATTTCTCCATCAATTTGAATAACTGTGTAGCTGGAATAACATAAAAAAAAATATTGTATATACAAAAAAAAAACCCTTGATAGTTGCTGATTTATTATGTAAGAAATATACCTGTTTGTTTGTCCAATGCTTGTGTGAACTGGTTGATTGGTGGTGGTACCTTCAGTCTCTTTTGGAGCACAGCCCTTTGCCGCTGAATACGAATGTACTTGGGCCATTTTACGAAGCGACTCAGATCACGTGCAGGTTGAATATCCTGTCCTAAATATCAAATTCTGGTTTTAACATAATATATATATTTACTATGTAATAATTAAATTATATGGTTCAAATGTAGTTTCCACTTACCAATACCAAAGTTACGGGTACGTTTTTCAAACAATGGATTAGTTTGTTTCTTCGGTTCAACCTTCTTGACTGCCAATGGGGCAGCTGCTACCTTCTTTCCTACCTTCTTCTTTGGCTATATTTTTAGAAGAATGCCTTCGTTAATATAATTCACTTAATTAATAAACGCTGAGATATGTTTACAACTTTCGTGTGCAATTATGAAAACTAAAAACGTTATTATTAGCTATATCGGAAAAGGTGTTATAACCTTAATATTTATGAAATGCTTATATTTTTATATTAACAAAAATAACTGCATTTGCAGTAACTCATAGATATGATGAATAAATACATATGCTGCTAGACAGAAACATTTACAATGCTTCAATGCGTCCAAAACATGCCGAATTCTAACCACTACAATTCATAGCAATAACATATCATTTATAGAAATATTACTTTTACTCGGGGATTTAGTAGATTTACCTTCTTTTGGACCATTGTTCTAATTGGAAATGTAACGGATCCTTTATATCTCTTTGGATATAAAAGTTAGTACTTCGTTCAACACGACGCGAAGTACGGCCGTCGAGAACGTAAAGAACGATTCATCGACAGCGCCACCACAGCAACGGCAGCGCCACTTGACAAATATCATGCCAATATAATTATTTTTATGAAAGCAACGTAATAATTAACATTCATTCCAATCGATGTTTTTAGTCATCCATTGGAATTTTCTTTAATAATTATTTTAAAAAATCTATGTAATATTCGTTCATTGTAAAGATGGAAACGATGTAAATAACAGATATCACGTGATTGGAATGGATTGGAATCCTATTGGTTCGCTGACCATGTTATTTTGTCAGGAATGTATCGTACGACTCATGTATAGAGACTGGCCTTAAAGTTATGACGAATTCTATTCGTTTAGGTGTAGTTATTTCCTTTTGTAAATCTAACAGGTATATAGTTAGGAAATGATTCATTACTGTTAATAAACGTAAACAGTAATCTGTATAAATCAGGGCATGATCTTCTGATGTTTCGGCTCTATTAGTCACGTGTTTTTGTTTACATCGTTTCCATCTTCAGAATGAATGGACTGTAGCTTTGAAACGAAATTTAATCAGTTCGAAATTCTAATATTTAATTATTTCTGTTAAATTTATGCGTCATATAAATCCTACATCAATTTTATATATATATATAAATTTAGACTTCCATTTATCGTAGTTAAATGTATGTAATATAACTCTACCTATTGACAAAAATTTTGTTTGCAAGCAGGGCAAGTGGTAAAAGTAATTTTTGTTGCAGAAAGAAAGCGTGTATATCTTCAAAAAAGTATCTTCAATTCAGTACAAACAGTGTTTATTTAAATTTTATAATAGATGGTAGGTTGAACATAATTTCAAGTAGCATATGGTAGTTAATGAAGAAGTATATACTAATGATTTGTTGTTTTTTTTTCACGATTCTGTTCTTCCTATCGAGAGAAATACATGAATTTGAAAGATGTGCAAGCACGTTGCCAATTTCTGAAAAACGCATGCGCAAATGCAATACCGATTGGAATGTGGTATGGTGGTAACAGAAGGGGCCGCGCGTGCGACCTACGCGCCTCCAGTTTAGACTATTTTGTGATGAGGGACGCTTAGCATCCGAGCTGCGTCAGTGTTCGTAGCGTGTCGACGATTCGTCTACGATACGTTCCTGTCATGAACGTTTCTGCTTTCCGCTGTTCTAAAAACTTTCGTTCATTAGTGAGTTCGTGACGGTACGTGAACTGGATGGGTGATCAGTGATCGTCGGCTTATCGTGACATTTCCTTCCGTCCACTCGTCGATTCCGAGAAGCCTCACATTTTCTATCACAGCGCACTTTTACAAGTATTAGCTACAGGTAACTACCGTAGGTCAAGGGTGCTTCTATTATTTTACTTCAACCCCATTGCGATCGACGGAGCCACGAGGAACTTTTCCAGTAAGCCGGCGAATGCAAGAACGAAACTATAGAATCCGTATACATATTAAAAATAAATAAAATCCTTATCTTATCTAAACACAATGATTGTTTGTAGAATTCAATTATGTTTATTTATAGAATACAAGTTTCTTTGAATAAATGTTGAATCGAATATCTGTTCTGGAATAAATTTCTATACAAAGTTTTTATTTGTTATGCATTATTTGAATAAAAATTCTACTTATCGTCTGTGGATAAAATTCCTTGTGCCTCCGTACGTATTTTATCGACTGCAAAGACCTAAATTCGTTGCACAAAAAATTCGTTCGTTCATATTCTCAGAAAAATATCGGTAGTTTGGTAGAATATTTTCTGCTTGCGTGTCGCGCGCTGTATCCGTCATCTGGCGTACCGTTAACGTCAGAGCTGGGAAAAATTCTTATCGAGATAAAAAATGTCAAATGATGAATAGAAGAAGAAACTAGATACTTATTCGTTACTTTAGAAGAACTAAAAATAGAGTTGAAATTATAGAATTAAAGATTTCGTGATTAACAAGCACGAATTTAACTGTTGAGATATTAAACTCTAAATAAAACGCATCATGTTAATTTTATTCGTCACCTGTTAATCGAATAAATTTTTTGCTCAGGTTTATACGTTATTTATTCGTTACTTATTCGTTACTTTAGAAGAACTAAAAATGGAGTTGAAATTATAGAATTAAAGATTTCGTGATTAACAAGCACGAATTTAACTGTTGAGATATTAAACTCTGAATAAAAAGCAGCATGTTAGTTTTATTCGTCATCTGTTAATCGAATAAATTTTTTGCTCAGGTTTCGATTTATAGTTATCGATAAAAAGTTAAAAATCACATTTTGTCAAAGTTTGCAATCGATCGAACTTACATTGAATCGAAAAAAATAGTAAACTTTCACATTCAAAAATATACATTATTCCAATCGGAGTAATATGCGTGATTTTGAACTAGTAAATACGATGCAGTTTAAAACAGCGAAAATGATACCCCCGAGTGTACTTAAAATAATTCTAGTTCGCACGTGGAATTTTTTTTTACTATATTGATAAAACTGTAACTTTCATTACGATAAAATTTCTTAAAGTGTATTATATAATTTTTAATTTAACCAATGCACACTTGCTCATAAAGCACACCTGTTTGATTGATTCAAATTGTTTGTAGAACGATTAATGATATCTACACGTCTTAATTCAGTTCTTGGAGCATAGCGACTATTCTGCAAAACATTGCCGATAATAAATTGTATGTACTACACAGCTTCTGATTATGACTCTACGTACAAAGATAATAAATGTTTTTTCTGAGACAGCAGTTGGATTAGTTATTGTAGAATTTTTCTTT